GTTCACGTTGCTTTATTACGTTGTATTCGTTACGACAGGCGATATTTTTACGTTATCAAAGTTTGGAAAGAAGTTAAGCTCGTCTTTAAGAAAGTTGGCCGGTTTGGTAATAAATTTAAGATTAATAAGAAAATAAATATCGTACTTACCCTCAATTATTCCGTCGTTATTTCTTAATAAACTCGATTCTTTATTATTGTCTCGAACGAATAAATGGAAAGGAAAAAGGGTATGGATATGCTTCGTATCAAGAAAAAAAAGATCACTATTTAATTATCTGGATTAATAGAAAGAACGAATCGCAAAATGAAGAATACGGGGTCTTTTTTAGAAAAACATTTACATATTTATATATATAAAATATAATACAATTTGTTACAGTGTAGATGATAGTGTAGCGTTTAGACGTTAATATCCAGTGTAAATTAGGTATAAATCTAAGAGCGGTATGGAAGGACAAGGGAACGCCCGGTAAACGCGATCCATGCGCGCGGGCGCAGGCGCGTGCCGATACGAGGGACACGCGCCCACGCGCCTCGGAGAGGATATACAGTTTCAACGTGTTACACGTAAATTATAAAGATACAAGACACTATTTAGCTAGCTATCTGAATTCGAGTGTGTGTGTGTGTAGGTGCCTATGAAGAGTCCGGGACGTATTATAATTTAAATCTAAAAACTATATACAGGGTTACCTATGTACACGCATACGCTATTCGCTCGATTCCATTTTATTTCTCCTTTCCTCTTCTTCTTCTCCTTCTTCCTCTTCCTCCTCTTCTTCTTTTTTACTTCCACTCGCCTATCGCGCACGATCGCCATGCCCCACCACTTGTCCGGCTAATGGGCCACGGACATCGTTGCTCGACGCTCGCTAATCTTTTTCTACATACAGTACATACATTTCCCGATTCCCTGGCCCCGCCGAGTTTCCGATTATATAAAGCTCTCCGGGCCATTTTCGATTCCCATCGTCGATCCCTTTTCTTTACACAACGTGCCTCTCTAACGAGCACGAAAAATATCTCTCGTACAGAGACACGCTCGACGACATTTACGAATCGACGAGAGATCGATAAACGGATTCTCGTCGGATTTAATAAATTCCTCCACGCATATTCCGTTCAGGTACTGCACGTTGTGTCCTCCTTCCTTCCTACATTCTTTCGTATCTCTTACGTAGAATTGTCATTTATTTAGGAATAAAGGTTACAATTAAGGAAAATCTGCGATCCTTCCGCGCAATCGAATCTTATTATACCCGAAAGCTCGACGGGGGATGCCAGGGATATCTCGGACCAGCTAACATGCGATGCAATGGAGTAATATAAATGCGTAATATCGTCCCCTATATTATCTAACATAATTACCCCAGCGTGAGTGACATTTATTCGCGACGCTTTGCTTGATTGTTCTGCTCATATCACCGGCAACCTATCGAATCCCCGAGCGTGCAAACGATCGCGGGAAATCGACTCGCGTCGAAGAATTCGTGGCGTGGAAGAAGCGTCACGGAAGCTTCTTCTCCTCTTCCTTTCGCGTCACGGTCGATCGTGTAACGACGAGCTCCTTCGACAAAGATGATAAATCATCCCGCGCATCGCACGAAGAAACTCGTGGTTCAAGGGAAATAGCGGTTTCTTGTCCCGAACGTCTCGCGAATCCCGTTCCACACGCTCTGTACACACGTTGCTCTCTTGCTTTCCCTTGCTTTCGATCGTCGATCGATTATTACATCGTTGTCTAACGCGTGGTTGATACGCGGCGTTAGTTTAACATTCGTTCCACGACGACCACCTCGGACACCTGCACTCGCGTAGATCTGCGTGTCATACGTTTTCGAACGCGTTGAGAACGCGTGAGTTGAATGATGATGGGTCGATGGGTCCACGTTTGTGGTCAAGGCGTTTCTTGTTTCTTGTGTAAAACAATAGTAGTATAATAAAGGAAAGGAAACACGATAGGAAACACGATTTCTCGAAATTGTGAACGCTGACATTAGCGAAGCGACGATTGGCAGTTATCGTACGGCGTGGTACGCCGGAGCCGACGAGTGTATCACGTACGTATCGATGATATGAGAAAAGATAAAAAAAAAAAGAAAAAAAAAAAGGAACAGACCTTCGGCGCCTAAAATTAACGTTTCTCTCCTCGGAAGGGTTGAAAAGGTTATCGCTTCGACTGCTCCTCTACGATCTCTACACACACAGATCCCCTATGACATTTATCGAATTATCGTAGTAGTATTAAATTGTAAAACGTGGCTACGCGCTTATTTTATTTTACTTTATTTTTATTTATTTTTTTTTTTACCGATTAGTCCGACTACTTAATGAGGTTTTTTTATCTCTTCCTTTTTTTTTATTATTATTATTATTATTATTATTATTATTATCTTCTACGCTAGGGAGAGAAAGAGAGAGAGAGAGAGAGAGAGAGAGTGAGAGTGAGAGGAGGAGAGAGAAGAAGAGAT